ACAGGTGTAGGTGCCTCAGAATCAAGGCCCTGCTCCAGTTCAGCCGGCCCTGGAGGCGGGGACTCCTGTGCAGGCTGGGATTCCTCCGGTTCAGCCTCTGAATCGGAATCCCAGGCCATCACACATCCCTTTACAGGCAAGATGCTCATACTAGAGTACAGGGATGGGGAACCTTTGGGCCCACCAGGTACTGCTGCACAAAAGTTCCCATCATTTTTGACCAAGGGCCGTGCTGCTTAGGGCTGATGGGAGCTGGAGTCCCAACATCTGCAAGGCCACAGATTTCCCCACCTCTGCCCTAACTAGTATCGGTGTGCTCTCAGCTTTAGGAGACTTAAACTTTCATTTTATATAGATGGGAGGAAACCAGTCTCTTCTCGTGTGGCTAATCTTGGCTTATATCTTATGTATAACCGGAAGCAAAACAAAACAGGCAATTTGCATCTTATGTGCATTTAACATGTGTTTTCAGCAATACATGCTTGACAGCAGCCACATTCCAGCCTTTTTTTTCTGCCTGCTTCTGTTTCTCTGCTTGCTTCCCTCCCATCGGTCCACAAACCCATGTTTGCCCAGGCAAGTACTGCTTGGCATGTTCTGTGAGTGGGTGCCTTTGGTGGAAGTGTGGTACCTCTTGAGAGTGAAGATCCGCAATGTTCTCATGAGAAGTTGCAATAAAGGTCTGGGTGTACTTGAGGCCTCCAGCTTCCTCCCACCTCTGAGCCTTCAATTTGCCGGTTGCCCCCTTTGAACAGTCATGGCTTCTCAAAGAATCCCGTGAACCTCAGTTAAGGGTACTGAGAATTGCTAGGAAACTCCCTTTTCCCCTCACAGAGTTACAATTCCCAAAGTTCCCATGGTAAAAAGATTGACTGTTAAACCACTCAGGGAATTGTAGCTATCAGAGGACTAGGGGTTTCCTAACAACTGCAGCACCCATAACAAATTGAAGTTCCCAAAATTCTTTGGGGAAATCATGACTGCTTAAAGCAATGCGATATTGCTTTAAACATATGGTGCAGTTGGGGCCTCATTTTACTTGCTAAAGAATTGTGTTGCTGGTGCTGTATACCCCACTGTGCCCAATAAACAATGGTGCCTTTCAATATATTTTCAGACTTGTCTCTCTCTTCTAGCAAAATATTCTATGGCAGATGTACATTAAATCCAGTTTGAGATTGTTCATCTGTACTTATATAATGTTATCAGATGCGCAGGCTGTGTATGTAACTAATAAAGCAGAATGTATTTTATAGAAATTGTGGGTGGGTGTGAAATGTTTCAAAGCACCCTGCATGGCACCTAGCAGTACCATGAAGCTAGTGTCTTCTTCTTTTTTTTTTAGGCCAGCATCTTTCATGCATTTCGGTGTCAAAACATTTTTCAGAACCACATGCAGGAGATAGATTTTGATGCTGCCTCCTTATATACAGGTGAAACTCGGAAATTAGAATATCGTGGGAAAGTTCATTTATTTCAGTAATTCAACTTAAAAGGTGAAACTAATATATGAGATAGACTCATGACATGCAAAGCGAGATATGTCAAGCCTTTATTTGTTATAATTGTGATGATCATGGCGTACAGCTGATGAAAACCCCAAATTAACAATCTCAGGAAATTAGAATATTAAATAAAATCAGCAAAACAAGGACTGCAAATAGAGCAATTTTGGACCTCTGAGAAGTAGAAGCATGCATATGTACTTAGTACTTGGTTTGGGCCCCTTTTGCATCCATTACTGCCTCAATGCAGCGTGGCATGGATGCTATCAGCCTGTGGCACTGCTGAGGTGTTATGAAAGACCAGGATGCTTCAATAGCAGCCTTCAGCTCTTCTGCATTGCTCGGTCTCATGTCTCTCATCTGTCTCTTGGCAGTGCCCCATAGATTCTCTATGGGGTTCAGGTCAGGCGAATTTGCTGGCCAATCAAGCACAGTAATCCCATGGGCATTGAACCAGGTTTTGGTATTTTTGGCAGTGTGGGCAGGTGCCAAGTCCGGCTGGAAAATAAGTCAGCATCCCCATGAAGCTCGTCTGCGGAAGGAAGAATGAAGTGCTCCAAAATCTCCTGGTAGACGGCTGCGTTGACCCTGGACTTAATGAAGCACAGTGGACCAACAACAGCTGATGGCATGGCTCCCCAAATCAACACAGACTGTGGAAACTTCACACTGGACTTCAAGCATCTGGCATTGTGTGCCTCCCCGTTCTTCCTCCAGACTCTGGGTCCTTGGTTTCCAAATGAGATGCAAAAGCTGTTCTTATCAGAAAAGAGATTTGCTCTATTTGCAGTCCTTATTTTGCTGATTTCATTTAATATTCTAATCATCACAATGATAACTAATAAAGGCTTGACATATCTCGCTTTGCATGTCATGAGTCTATCTCATATATTGTTGTTGTTTAGTCGTTTAGTCATGTCCGGCTCTTCGTGACCCCCTGGACCAGAGCACGCCAGGCATTCCTATCTTCCACTGCCTCCCGCAGTTTGGTCAAACTCATGCTGGTAGCTTCAACAACACTGTCCAACCATCTTGTCCTCTGTCGTCCCCTTCTCCTTGTGCCCTCCATCTTTCCCAACATCAGGGTCTTTTCCAGGGAGTTTTCTCTTCTCATGAGGTGGCCAAAGTACTGGAGCCTCAGCTTCAGGATCTGTCCTTCCAGTGAGCACTCAGGGCTGATTTCCTTAAGAATGGAGAGGTTTGATCTTCTTGCAGTCCATGGGACTCTCAAGAGTCTCCTCCAGCACCAGAATTCAAAAGCATCCATTCTTCGGCGATCAGCCTTCTTTATGGTCCAGCTCTCACCTTTTAAGCTGAATTCCTGAAATAAATGAACTTTTCCACGATATTCTAATTTTCCGAGTTTCACCTGTATACTGGCCACATTCACAAAACACATTTAAAACACTATTGTTTTAAATAGTCATGGCTTCCCTCAAAGAATCCTGGGAACTGATTTGCTAAGAGGGCTGAGAACCCCTTTTCTGCTCCCAGAGCAGTTTATCAATCCCTCTTCATAGGGAACTCTGGGAATTGTAGCTCTGTGAAGAGACTAGTGGGTCTTCTAACAACTCTCAGCACCCTTTGGTGGGAGCAGTGGTTGAGGCGAGAGAGCAGGCAGAGCTGCAGGCAACATGACCACCAGTCAGAAGTATCAGGACTTCATGGCTGAGCCCATGGGGGACAAGTCTCTTGGTACTTTAGCTGGCATTGGAGATGTACTTGGCAGGAAGCTGGAAGACAAAGGCTTTGACAAGGCGTACGTGGTTCTGGGACAGTTCTTAGTGCTGAAGGACCTCTTCCGCGAGTGGCTGAAGGACACATGCGGTGCCAACGCCAAGCAATCCAGAGACTGTTATGGCTGCCTGAAGGAATGGTGTGATGCTTTCTTGTGATTGTTGGCCAAAGCCTGGTGGATGCTGTGAGGGCTTTTGTAGTTGAATAGAGATTGTTCCTCCCCATCTCTCTCAGCACCTACTTCTTATAAACCTTCCAACATCTACACAAGCTGCTGAGGGCTATTGCTCCCAACACTGGGGTGGGGTGGGGGGAAGCCATGGCTGCCTTTTAATGTAACTGAATCTTTTTTCCTCCAGGGAGAGGATTGAGAAACATCAAATGTTCTAAACATCAAGTAGGTTGTTGTTTTTTACGTGGCTTTAATAGCACCCCCCCCCCCCCCGTTAGGCCACCCAACTCCAGAACCAGACCTGCCTGCTAACAATAATGGAAGTTCCCCTACTACCTTTGTTTGAGCTCCAATTAGACTGAGATTTACCCGTCAATTCTGAAGACAAAAGATGTTATTAGGATTATTATTTTTGTGATTTCTCTCCAGAATTTGATCCCCGCTATAATTTTTATGCTACTCAGTTTATTGGCAAGAACCAAAAATCAGCTGTGTTAACTAAAACAACTCCTCTCAGCACCCTTAACAAACGGCAGCTCCCAGAATTCTTTGCAGAAAACCATTACCAGCTAACGCTTGTTCTAATCAGTAAACCCAAATAAACTAATGGACCCAAGTTAGTCTCGTTCATTAATTTCAGTGTATCTACTCTGAGTAGGACTAGCACTGGCTACAGCCCATTGCTTATGAATGGATCACACAGAATTCAAGCACAAAAGGCAGGAGCAGATGTTTTATTGCAACCCATGGACTTATAAGGCAGCCTCTTGTGGCATACTGTTTTGCAGGAAGATTAATTTGTCAGTATGCAGCAGCTTTAGATAGAATGCCTTCTTCCCAAGACAAAAGGGGAGGGGGAATTCTCAAACACTAAGTAACATCTCCTGCACATTTGGAGCATCTCTGTAACAAGTAGATCTTGGTACCTTGTTTCACCCCGAAAATAAAACCATATTGATCATAACCGTGGTCAACTCCATCTTCGTGTGAGAAAGATGAGGAATATAGTGTGGTTGCCCCCCAAATCCATTTTGCTTCGAAGTCAGACTTTTCATCCACTTAACTCAGTACAGTCCACTCTAAAGTAGGCGAAATTCTGCCACTGTCCACCAGACAATGGTGAACTCCTAATTCCTATCAATCTCAGCCACCCTATTTCAGTGGTCAGGGAGGATGAGAGCTATGATTCAGCACTGTCTGGAGGGCCACAGCTTCCGCACTCCTTGTCTACTCCAGGGATACAGGCAGCAAATGGTCATTTCCCAGGCTGGCAACTCAGAAGCATTTTTAACTGGCGATGTCAGCAGTTCAGCCTGGGACCTTCTGCATATCCAGTCTCTGCTCTTCCACTAATAATCTAGGGCCTCTCAGTTGTAAATAAACCCACTCTACAACCACCTCAAAGTAAATAAAAAATGCTCAATTTCACTTCTGTTGCTGCACCCGTCAGCAAGGCTCAAGGTCTCTTTCACAAGTAAAAATGTCCATCTATGTTTATACAATGAAGCATGCAAAGTTAAAAACAAATATTTTATTAAGCACGGCAGCCTAGCAAGGTTGCACAAAAGAAGTAAGGAAGATCCCATCTTTGTAGGGAAAGCAAGACTTGCTCTGCTTGGAGGAGGAACTCCATTTAAAACCTAGAGGAGAGAAGCTCAGTCTCTTCTGCTATTTCTAAACAGAGTTTGTTGGGCTCTTGAAACAAATTCCTGCTTTCTTCCAAAGCTCACAGGTACCAGGCACTGCCACTGTCCACCCTTTGGGCTCTAGAACTCAAAGTTCCCAAACTGAGATGAACGGTTGTTTGGTTTGGGCTGGGGTTTGTAGCCAATCCGGTCATGTATCATCTGCTCCCGGCTCTTATGATCAGTGCTGAGTCCCAGTGCACACTCAGCATCGCTGGCTCCCACCATGTCCACCTCCTCGCGCTTCCTACGACTCTGTGGAAACAAATGGGAAGCATAATTAAAGAAACCTTCTCCAGGACAATCACATATGTGCCTCCTCCGCCCATGACATGTTTTCTTTTTCAAATATAGCTGTAATGAATCCGATTCTTTGCTTTCAGATTTAAGACATTGCAAGCTGTCAAAAGGTTCTGCCACAGAAAGGGGCCAAACACCTTTACTCGTGAGTGCAGGGGGCTAACATGGAGGCAACCTCAAGCATAATTTGGCATTTAGATCTGCTACTGTGTACGCACAAACACACCTTCTTGCACAGGAATACAAGTAGCCATTTTATACCAAATTGGACCATTGTTTCATCTTGTTCAGTATTGTCTACTCTAACAACAATATTGCAGGATTTCAGGCAGGGAGTCTCCCAGCCCTACCTGGGAGACTGAACTTGGGAGCTTCTGCATGCAAAGGAAATGCTTTACAGCTGAGCTTATGGTCATCGAACAAAACACAGGAAGCTGCCTTTTACAGAGTCAGACCATTGGATCCACTTAGCTCAGTATTGTCCACCCTGTTTGGCAGCACTTCTCCACGGTTTCAGGCAGGAAGCCTCTTCCAGACTTACTTGGGGATACTCACAATTGAACCTGGGACCTTCTCAATGCAAAGAACACTTTGACACTGAGCTGCGACCTTTCCCCAGCCAACAACCTTTTATTAAAACAAGCAAATGGCAGCCCTGAGGAGCCAGTGTTCTTTCTCCATACTGTGCATAATTTTATAAGCTTGTTTGTGCATGTTCCACCCAAGTAAGAACGGGGGGGGGGGGGAGACTGCGCCCAACTCCAGCGGGTGGCTCTACCTCACCGCCTGTTTACTATACTCGGTACCCTCCTGAGTGGGAGAGAGAAGACCGGGCCGGGCAGCTCAATAACAAACAGGATGGCTACTCCCCTTGTGAGGAGAAACAGGTTTTTTAAAAAGAAAAGAGAAAGCAAGGTGCATGTGCAGAGTGCGCAAACAACAACAACACCACCGAAGAAAGGTGGGCAAGGAGCGCCTTGCCGTCCCGCAGCCAACCACCCACTCACCCACCTCGAGTTCCTTGCGGGCGCCGTCGAACTCCTCGATGTCGTCCAGCTTCAATTCAAGCCGCGTCGGTTTCCGCCGCAGCATTTTGCAAGCAGACCTTTCCCCACACCGCGGCTCTCTCGCGCGTGCGCAGCAGCTCCCCGCTCTTTTCTTCACCTGCACCTCTCGTTCAGACGCCAACGCCAGAGGCTCGATCCCACCACGCCCCACGTCGCCAGCCAGCAACCTGGAAGGTCTCGCTCCGCATAACCATGGAGCTCCAGGGAAGCTAGAGCGGCCCACTCTCCGGGATGGAATGGAAAGGCATCATTGGCTGTGGCGCTCCGCAAGGGCGGGGGAAGCCGCTGTGCCGGAAGTGTTTGTGGGGAGCCCGTTGCGTGTGATTCCCCCACTACAGAGCCCCGGTCTGAGAGCAGGGGTCGGGAAAGCGCCATGGCTGCGTCGCGGATCGCCGCGGTGAATAAGGCAGGGGGCTTGAAACTGGGATAGAATGTGGTTTCTTAGTTTAAAAAACGTGTATCTTTTCATAGAAATGATAAAATGAAAAATCTGTTTGAAAGACACCAGTGTCTACTTGTTTACTGCAGTGACTAACGTAACCTCACGTCGGTAGTAAAAGTTTTTAGAGCGTAACGGATTGTATCCAACTAAAGCTCAATTCAAGGTTGGACTCATTTGAATTAATGAATATGACTCGCTTGCGGCTGTTAATTTCAGTGGCTCTCCTCTTTCAGTTGAGCTGAGTTGGGTGCAACTCAACGCTTCAGCTTCTGCCACAAAAGGCAAAATGTTATGCTTTAAGAGTTCTAATATTTCTGCTGCATTAAAACAACAAGGCATTCTTTGCCACCTTAAAGACTAACAAACGTTGTTGTTTCAGAACCACCTATTAGAGTGGACTTGTAGTCCATGAAAGTTTATGCCAGAATAAATATATATATATATATATATATATATATATATATATATGTTAGGATTGTATCCAGTGCTATCTCTACACAGAGCAGACCCACTGAAATGAATAAACATAACCAATTCAAGCCCATTAGTTTTATTGGGCCTACTCAGAGCAAGACATGGATTTCCTTTGCTTTTAAAGTACAGTGGTACCTCGGGTTAAGAACTTAATTCGTTCTGGAGGTCCGTTCTTAACCTGAAACTGTTCTTAACCTGAGGTACCACTTTAGCTAATGGGGCCTCCTTCTGCCGCCGTGTGATTTCTGTTCTCATCCTGAAGCAAAGTTCTTAACCCGAGGTACTAGTTCTGGGTTAGCGGAGTCTGTAACCTGAAGCGTCTGTAACCTGAGGTACCACTGTACCATGATACTCATGGACTAACATGACTGTTCCTGTGGAATATTTTATGTTAGTCACTGTAATAAATATATTACCAAACAGTATAATCCTTAACAATGTCAACTCACAAGAAAGTCCTATTGTGTTCAGTAGTGCTGACTCCCACAGAGGTGGGCTTAGGGTTTTAGCCTTAATGATTAACAGTATGCTGGGATTCAAAACAAAATTGTCTCATGTACTGTTTGATGGGGTGGGGGCTGTCAGATGTGGGCAGATGTCATGAGTCAGGAGTATAGGGGGAGGGGAGCTGGTTACTGCCTTTTGGCTCCATTCCTCTCCAGCCTCCTCTTCTGCCTCAGTCTGGACTGCTCTCTGCCCCATGTCGCTTCCTGCTCACTAAAGCCTGTTGCCTCTTCTCCCTCTGACCATGCATCGCTGCCCCCCTGGCTCTGAGCCTTCTTCCCCAGTTCTCTGCATCAAGCCAGCCCATGACAGCAGGTGGGGGGAAATCCAAATTTGCTCTCTTCCTTCTCCATGTAGGCTACTGCTGAGTTTCCTTCTTGCAGGGTTCAAAAACAAAGGCCTCAGATGAAGGGGATGCTCCTCCAGCCAAGAAAGCCCCGATTTTCTATGGGAGCTTGGAGGAGAAAGAGCGAGAACGTCTCCTCAAAGGGGAGTCTGGGTTGATGGGCAAGGATGCAGTCAAAGCAGCTATTGAGGCTGGCAACATCAATATCACCAGTGGTAAGAGATGGTAGTGAGCTGACTGGGAGATGGAAGGAAAAGGATGGAGGGAAGAACTGCTTAGTGGGGCTGATAATTTGTTTAGAATGCTTGTAAGCAGGCCATTTTCAGCAAATGCTCTCAGAGAAGCTCACAGTTCAATACTAAAATTACAATTAAATCAGGAAGTCCTTTAAAACAAATCACACTAAAGCATTACACAGCATAATGAGATTAAACAAGATGCTGACATAAAACCACATGCAAGCAAATAAGGCATTCACTTGGTGCTGACAGAATGCCACAACTAAGAAGCCTGTGTCATTGTCCACCATACTTCCAAGGGTGGTAGGACCTAGAATATATCTTAATGTTTGGGTGGGTTCATGTGGGAACAGGTAATCTTTCAACTAGCCTGGCCCCAACCCATTTGGGGCTTTGTAGGTCAAAATCTGCACTTTGGCTTGAGCTTGGCAATGAACTTTAATCCAGTGTATCTCTTTAGGACAGGCAAAATAGGTTCCATATGACCAGTCCCATTTATTTGCTTTAACTGTAGTTTCCAAGCAATCTTCAAAGACAGCCCCAAGTACAGCGCGTTATAGTAATCAGTCCATGGATAAATGTGACCAGGCTATCTTTATCCCAGGGATGCTATCAGTTATACATACAGTAGTACCTCCAGTTACAAACCTAACCTGTTCCGGAGGTCCGTTAGTAACCGGAAACCGCTCGTAACATGAAGCGCGCTTCCGCTAATAGCACCTCCCGCTGCTGCCGCACCGCCAGAGCGTGGTTTCTGCTCGCATCCCGGGGCAAAGTTCACAACGAGGGGCATCTGCTTTCGGGTTAGTGGAGCGCGTAACCCGAAGAATTCGTAAGGGGGACGGTTCGCAACATGAGGTACCACTGTAGTTCTTTACAGGAGAAAGCAAGCAAGAGACAAATCCCTGCCCTGAGGTCTTTATAATTTAAATCTAGATAGGGGTAGCAAGAAGCAAAAAACTAGATGAGAAGGAGTGTCACAGGTGGCAGCAGATCAATGTGGGTACACTCTGCTTAGGTTTCGTTTCAGGGGAACAAATGGTTGTTGGCTAGCTCCTGCGCATCTGCAGATCCTATTTGTTCCCTCTGGATATAAAAATGTGTACTGCCAGTGGCCATAAGAGATTGTGCTCTCTTACCCCCCCCCCCCAGCAATACATTAATTACATTGTGCCTTTGTATGAATTTTGATTTTAAGCCATTTGGGGAGCCAGTTTTGGCTGAAAAGAGGGATGTAGATCAAAGCCTTAAGCCACAGGCCTCACTGATAACATAAGCTTTGACCTGGACACTCAAGGAGCAGAGAGCATATACCACATATTGTTGCTCTTTGAATGTGGCTTCATTGGAATGAAGTGAGGCTTTGTAGGGTCCTGTTGGGGTTGTATTTCCTATAACCTTTGGCTTTCTACTATGATCAGGTGAAGTTTTTGACTTGGAAGAGCACATCAGTGAGCGCCAGGCAGAGGTCCTGGCAGAGTTTGAGCGCCGGAAGCGTGCCAGGCAAATCAATGTTTCCACAGATGACTCTGAGGTCAAGGGCTGCTTACGAGCCCTCAGGGAGCCCATCACACTTTTTGGAGAGGGCCCTGCAGAAAGGAGGGAGAGGTGAGAGAGGATGAAATTGAATTGCTCTCACTTCCTTTTCCAGTTCATTGATGTGACTCATATAAACAAAGGCAAGTTAATCTTCACTTTATTTCTCAACAGGCTACGTAACATTCTGTCTGTGGTTGGCACAGACGCATTGAAGAAGACCAAAAAAGATGATGAGAAGTCCAAGAAATCAAAAGAGGAGGTAATAAGTGACAGCAGCTCTGGGGTTTCAAATGGGAGTCTTCACAAACCCTGGGAGCTCACACTTTCCCACTGAGCTCCGACCTTTCCCCTTAGCTATAAATGTGTGCCCACTATACTACCCAAGTCTCACAAGAGATACCCACCCCTTTAATGTTTCATTTCTCTTAGTATCAGCAAACCTGGTACCACGAAGGACCAAATACCTTGAAGACGGCCAGACTGTGGATCGCCAACTACTCCCTCCCTCGGTAAGGGGCTGGGATTGAGAAATGCTAACGCAAACATTGATGAGGCCTTGTATATCTATTGTCCCTAACTAGAGTGGTGGTGATGGTTGAGAAATGGGGGATTTCAAACCCACCTCAAAAGACAGATGGCACGTGGCAGAAGAATTGTCACCATTACAACTTGTAGGCCTCTGCAAGGGTTGAATATGGGCAAGACCTGGTTGCATTAATTTTTGTTCCCTTCACAGGGCAATGAATCGATTGGAGGAAGCCTGGCTGCTCAAGGAGGTCCCTGAGGCCACACGGACTTCCCAGAAACAGGAGCTGCACAAATCTCTAAGGGTAAGTGGGACCCATCTCTGCTATGACTTAAAAGTTCTGGGCACTGGGCTGCTGCAGCCCAGAAGGCCCCCGAGATGCGGAGGTTCAAATGAGCTTGCAGAAGGCTTCTGTGCCTCTGCTCCTCCTCAGCATAATTCAATGGTAGATCAAATGCTTTGCATGTGGATGATCCCAGGTTTACTCCCTGGCATCTCCATCTCCAAAGACACCTGGACAAGGAAAGATCTCTGCTGGTTGCTTGGAATTCAGCTGCCAGTTCAGAGCACGTAACATTGCACTAAATGGGTCCAACAATTCAGCTCAGTAGAAAACACTACTGGGGGTGAGGTGGGGGAGCAGCCTGGGCAGGAAACGTCATCTCTTTTCTTTACCATCTCAGCGCCATCTCATTTTAGTGAGCCCTTCAGTTCCTCTGGTGGCAAAATATTATCTTTTGTTTTTCTTTCAGTCTTTGAATAATTTCTGCAGCCAAATTGGAGACAACCGCCCTATCTCCTATTGCAACTTCAGCCCCAACTCCAAGCTCCTGGCTACAGCTTGCTGGTAAACTTTGTTCTGCTTTTCATTATGTCCCTTCCAATCCTGCTAAGTTCTCCTATAGTGCACAGGAGAGGCTGCCTGAGCTGTTGGGGGCAGTCATAGAATCATAAAATTGTAGAGCTGGAAAGGATCCCGAAAGTCATCTTGTCCAACGCCCTGCAATTAGCAAGCTCTGGAAGGCTATTGTGGGAGTAGTTTTTAGAATGTGATAGTTCTGTGGGTGCATTTTATCATTTTGTTGAAGGTTGTTTTTAGACTTGCTATCTTCTGTTTTGTTTTTAGACTTGTTATCTTGCAACTGAATTTTGCTTGGTTTTTATATGTGTTTGGGTTTTTTTTACTCTCTTAGCTTCCTTGATTGCTTTTGTTTGATTGGTTTTGTTTGTAAAACAGAAAGACAAGGGATAGAAAACATTTTAAGATAAAATAAAATGCCAGTCAGTTTTCCTTCTGCCTTTCCTCTCCCAGGAGTGGCCTCTGTAAACTGTGGTCAGTGCCGGATTGTAATCTCATCCACACTTTGCGAGGTATAGTATCTGACTCCCACCGCACCCATTGCCAAAGCAGCCTGCTTTTCTCTTATCTTCCCTCAAATGACTGGAGCAATTACCGTATATGGCTGATTAGGAGCATAAGGCTACATGGGTGGGAGGCTATGAATTTTGAGAGTGGTGCTGTGCAAACTTCTTCCTTTATTTGTTTGTCCACCTTGGGCTTGGGTGAGATGGCATTCCTTTCTGGAAGACAGCCTGGACTCTAATAATCAGTGTTGGGAGTCATATCCTATAGGTCCACTGCTTAGCTGCTGACTAATTCAGAGCATGGGAACGTCAGACCCGTGGGCCACATGTGGCCCTCACAGCCTCTCTGGCCCTTGGGGCTCTCTTCAAACTGCACCAACCCTGCTTGTCACCCTCCTTTAGTGTTTTTACTTGGGTGGAATGTGGCCTTGAATTCTGATCAGGCCTGGAAGGAGACTAGAAATGGGAGTGTGAAGGCAGGTAGCCTACTATACAAAGGGAAAAGCTGCATTTGTTGCTCCACCTTCTTTTGCTTTTGGCCCCTCCCACTATTGGCATGCAGCCATCCTCCATTCAGGCCAGCCAAAGTCATTTTCAGAATTCAAGGATGCAATCCGGGCTGGCAGAAGACACTCAAGAAGGGCGTGAAGCAGGGACAGTGAAGTGTGTGGCCTGAGGGGAAAGAGTGAATTAGTGTGGGGAGAGTGCCAAGGACCAAAGTGGAAGGCCTTGAGAGCCACATTTGGCTTACAGGGCCAAGGTTCCCCACCCCGGCTTTAGCACAAAAACTAAATTTGAAGTGATTCCCAGTCAAAGAGTCTCTTCGGAGCAATAGGAAGATGCCCAGACTCAGACAGAGGAAGTAAGCTTAAAATTGGCTGGCTCTCAAACTGTCTGTCTGTCTCGTCTGTTCCCAAGGGCACAACACCAACATTGGAGCCATTGTCTTTCACCCCAAGGCAACCATCTTCCTGGACAAGAAGGACGTCAACCTGGCTTCATGCGCAGCAGATGGCTCTGTCAAACTTTGGAGTCTTGAAAGGTATGCCTGGGCCCAGGAAAATCAGTTGCCTTCCCTTCCTTATTTTATTGGCTGCTGCGGGTGGTAGAGAAAAATATTAAAGAATGGCTTCCTGTTTAACCTCCTTCTGCAACAAACAAAAAGCTAACACAAGTGATTGAGGCAGGGGCATGACCACACCATACTTTTAAAGCACATGGCTCCCCCCAAAGAATCCTGGGAGCTGTAGTTTGTTAAAAGTGCTGGGAATTATAGTCCTGTGAGGGTGAACTATAGTTCCCAGAGTTATTTTGCTGTGGGTGCTTTTGGGGGCCTGATCCAGCAGTGCTCCTCTCTCCTTATAATGAGGCTTCTTTTCTGTGTTACTGTTTCTAAAGCTTTATAGAGACACGAGTTTGCTTGGCTTATTGGTTGTGCCCCCCTGGCCCAAACTGTGAGGTGGGGGGTTCCCACTTCTCCCCCATGTCATACTTGTATTACTTTTTACACCTCTTGTCTTGCTATGTCCCCAGATAGGCTTCATTTGTTCCAACAGTCAAGGCACTGTGACTCTTGGGGAAGGCAGTTGATTCTGTCAGTGCGTTATCCAAGGAAACAGAGAGAGAGCAGATTCTTTAATTGGGCCTCAGGGAAGAGGTTTATTTCTGTCAGATACTGTTGCTGTGGGCCAAAGCATCAGTGTTGGTAAATTCTCACTCCTTCTCTCAGTCTTGGGTGCCTGTGAGGTCATAGAATCATAGAATTGTCAAGTTGGAAGGGACCACAAGGGTCATTGAATCCAACCCCCTGCAATGCAGGAATCTTTTGCTCAAACTCATATTTAGTGATAGATTTTTTCCCACCTGTTGAACTCGAGACCCTCTTTTGCAACAGTAAGGGACCTGTGGCCCATGGGCCTGACTGGGCCTGGCAGGGAACCCGATATGGCCCATGGGGCCATTTTTGCCAAGCCACACCTGCCCCACCCCTGACATCTTGTATAACATGGGGCAGGTAAAGACACGGCCGCAAAAGGAACAAGTAGAAGAGCTTTAAAACATGTTCTGGGGCCATTCTGTGGCTTGTTATATTGATGTCAAATTCAAACCCCACTGGGCTAGGCTTCCTTCTGGAGTTCCCTGAGTTCCTTCACCTTTTGTTTAAGAAAGTCAGGGTTGCGTGTACAGGACTGGATCATTCCAGCAACAAGGGGGCTCAATCAAACTGAAGAGAGCAGCTACAGTAAGTGGAGCTGGTCTAGTAACTCTTATACTTGAGGAAGTATTAGGACTTCCTCCTGCCAATGAGGTTACTGGTTCACTATCCAGTCGCTTTCTTTTGGAACACAGGGTTGTAGACCCATTGAAATGCATGGACATGCATTAATTTCACGGGGTCTACTCTGAAATGAACTGAATTGAATACAACCCCATAGGAAGCTGCTTTATAGCAAGCCAGACTAATTGCCTCTCAAGGCCACTGTTGCCTGCTCTAACAGGCAGTGGCTCTCCACAGTTTCAGGTGGGAGGATTTCCCAGCCGTACTTGGAGACACCAGGGATTGAATCTGGGATTCTTTTGCCTGCAGAGTGTGTCTACCACTGAGCCACAACTGCTCTGCTTGGGCAGGCAGGGTTTTCCCTTCTGTTCCGAACGCCCTTGGATTACTTTAATATTTGTACTTTGCAGCCCTGGGAACAATGGTGAGTAGCCTACATGAAGCATCCCAAGCTGCCTGTGTATTCTTGCAGCCAGTCAGAGACAGCATTGTTTGTTTCCTTGTGAACTAGTTTTCAAAGACCCATCACAACATATTTTAGGCTTGAAAGGCAGCAAGCAGTGTACAAATCTTATACAGTAGTGTACTATGACTAAGCTGTTAATAAAGTCATTGGATAAAGCCAAGCTAGTCTGTGAATCTTTCAATAACAACTGAAACATTTTTCTCTTCTGGGCACCCTTCAGGGGGGTCACTTACCAGTGGTGGGTGGAGTAACTACTGTAAATTTTACCTTCACACAGCAGATTAGTTTCTGTACACACACACCCCTCTGTCCTCCAGCCAGCCAGCTGGATCCACCCATCGCACCTTCCTTTCTCCTATTCTGTATTGCTGCCTCTTTATTTTAGTCTCTGTTATGGGACAGTCAGCATCATCAAGAATTTGCCGTGAGATGTTGTGTTTCTTTCAGTGATGAACCAGTGGCTGACATCGAGGGACACACAGCGAGAGTAGCCCGGGTGGCATGGCATCCCTCTGGCAGGTTTCTGGGCACCACCTGGTAAGTCAGAGGAGGGGGTGCAGCCCAAAGGGCCACACATGGCACCTGGTCTAATTTCTTGTGGGTAGCAAGGAGGTGAATAAATAGGGAAATGATGTAATGGAGAAAGAGGAAGAGCAGAGAGCAGCAGAAAGAAAAGGAAGAAAAGAGAGTTCCTTCCATTGTTAGTAGTCTCACCACCACTGGCAATGCCACCACCATGGGTTACCTTCGAAATAATTCTGCCCTCGATAGAAAAACAGCTGTTGTCATCCCCTTGTGATATGTTACTTCTTTCCACTCAGCCCAGCACTCATTACACAAGACTGGAAAGTGAGAGGTTGGAATGGGAGGAAGCTGCAGTTGAAGATCCCAATACTGAGCAGAGAATTGAATTATGTGTCCTAAATGCTACACATATCCCTGTATCAGTTGGCTGATCGTCTAAGTTTGTGGGGGCCAGGGGCAGATTAGATTAATTCCATGGTCTTAGCTTGTAGTGGAGATCAGGATAGACAATCCAGCCACCTGCTTGAACTTCGGGGGGGGGGGGACCTGTTGGGGCCTTGTGAGATATTCACATGAGTCTTTGTCTCTTCTCCACCTCCCCCCCTGCAGCTATGACCACTCTTGGCGCCTGTGGGACCTGGAGGCTCAGGAGGAAATCTTGCACCAGGAGGGGCACAGCAAAGGAGTTTACGACATCACCTTCCATGTTGACGGCTCCCTTTCTGCCACTGGGTAAATCTACATGCATGTGCAAGTCCTAACCCTCCCTGGGGGTGTCACTGAGCAAGTATCAGCCAGTCAGTAATGATGCTCATTCTTACTAGTTCTAAAATGCCAGAAAAGAGAGAGAACTGGTTGGGATTCTACCTTCAGAAGATCCCACTCAAGTCTTCACTCCTGGAGCTAAAAAGTCACAGGGTGGAAATTCTAATGAGGGAGGGGCCATAGCTTCGATAAGAGCGTCTGCTCTGCGTGGAGAAAGTCACAGCTTCAATCCCCAATGGTTATCTTCCTATCTATAATCCTGGAGAGCAGCTGCCAGTCAGTGTAGACACTACTGAATTAGATGGACCAATGTTCTGACTCATTTCTAGGAAACTTCCTTTGTTCCTAATAGCTTGACTGTATTCCTGAGTTTATACTACTCATTAAAATAAAAGTTTCAACTTTTTAGGGCAGTATTAAGATTTGCCCCATCATTGTTCTTAATCTGCAAATTCTGATCTGGGGAGCTCTTGCTTTAGCTTGTTTGTAATTGAGTCGATCCTTCATTGTCACGTAACTATGCTTTGGAACTCCCTGCCTATTGACATTAAGCAAGCTATATATTTGTATGCACCTGCTGAATCCTTTTTTTTTTTTTTTTGGCTTGACAAGCCTACCCAGGTGCATAATTTAGTTACTTTGTTTTTAAAGTTCTACTTATTTTTATGCGTGTTTATAATGCCAATGGCTTTTATGTATATTTGCTTTTTAATTGTTCTGTAGATTTTAGCTATGTTTCACGTTCAGTTTTTGTACTCCTCTTAGATAACTTTTTGATTTAAGTGCATTATAAATATTCTAAATCTATGCAAACAAAGTGTGCTAATTAGACTTTGCTACATGTGATTTGCCAGGTAGGTCAGATCTGGGTCCTGCTTGCAAAACCTTGGATCTGCAGACAGGAGGTGGTAGTAACATGGGAGGCAATCCGAGCTGCATTGCAGCAAGGCTTTGCTCCAATTTAACAACTGTGGGTCTCAGAAGCTCCTTTGGCTCCTGTTTAGTGATGTTAAGAGGTATCCAGCCTAGGTGACAACTAAAGAGGAAAGAAGATCCAAAGATGGCTTTAAGTGATGCCCCTTATTCAGAGTGGAAGCATGGGAAGGGGTTTGTGTGAGAAAGAGATTGTTTGACATTTTTCTCTTCCTTTCAGTGGCCTTGATGCATTTGGCCGCGTGTGGGATCTGCGCACAGGGCGTTGTATCATGTTTTTGGAGGGTCATCTCAAGGAGATCTATGGGATCAACTTTTCCCCTAACGGGTAAGAACCAATTTGCCATCCCCTCTTGGGGTGCAGGTCTTAATATTGACACACAGACAACTAACTTCTGCTCGGAGTAGATTAATTGAAATTAATGGAACTAATTTAGTCTGCATGCACACTATACATTCAAAGCACATTTCCCACCCCAAATCATCCTGGGAACTTTAGTTTCCCCCTCACAGAGCTTATAATTCCCTATGCCCTTAGTAAACTACAGTTCCCAGGATTCTTTGGCAGAAGCTGTGTGCTTTAAATGTATGATGGGTACATAGCCTTCCCCCCTCCTCCAATATATTTTATTAAAGCTTTTTCATAATCATGTAGGATTATGAATAGGGCTGAAATTGGGAACAACCCCCTTGCACGCAAACCCGAATTCCTCCTCTTCCGTACTTCTCATAGGTACCACATTGCCACTGGAAGCGGCGACAACACCTGTAAAGTGTGGGATCTCCGCCAGAGAAAGTGCATCTACACCATCCCTGCCCATCAGAACCTGGTGACCGGAGTGAAGTTTGAACGTAAGTCTCTGCAGCTGCTATGGCCTTTCCCCAGAAACTGAGGATATATAATGGGTTGAAAAGTACCTTGTCTGTGGTTTCCATGTGCAACATAGATTCCCAAGACTTGGATATATACCGCTCCCCACCCTCCCCAAATATACTGGCTCTTGAGAATAGCCTGTATGCTCTGTCACTCACCCTCCCTCTTCCTGCATCCCCCGTTCCCTGCTTATGGTTGGCTTTTGGGTAAGGTTTTGGGGAAACTGGTAGCACTCTGGAAGTTGTTGGACTCCCAGCTCCCATCAGCCCCAGCCAGCATAGCTAATGGTCATGGATGATGGGAGTTGTAGTTCCTCACCCCTGCTGTAAGTGGTGAATCTCTATATTGCCTCCTTAGTCCTCCTCCCCACTTCCTGTTATTTTTCTCTTTCCGCCACCCAGCAAATCATGGCAACTTCCTGCTTACTGGATCTTACGACAGCACAGCCAAGGTCTGGACGCACCCAGGCTCATCCCCGCTGAAAACCTTGGCAGGACACGAGGGCAAAGTCATGGGCTTGGACATCTCCCTGGACGGGCAGCTGATCGCCACATGCTCTTATGACAGGACTTTCAAGCTTTGGATGGCAGAGTAGGGGGAAGGAGCATTTCTGCCGGATTGGCCCTGCCCAGCTCCCGCAGCCAAGGAAGGCAGCCTGCTGTGACTCCCTGGGCCTCCGCCACAGATCAGGGCATGGTTTGATGCGCTTCTGGGATACTGCCTCCTCCTAACACATGCACACACCCTCTGGTCAGGCCAAGCTGAGTTTGAGAACGCCTTTCCTATTGCATTTTGCTTTAGTTGTGTACTCTCCCCTCCCTTCCCTGTGGAATGGGCTTGCATTGATCCAGCACTACCAACCTTTAGGAATACCCAGGGTGCTAACAGAGCTGGTAGAGTGGGTTGTTCTGGTTGTTATTTGGGAGTGGGGTCACAGCTTCTTCTCACTCGGACAGAGACTTTTCTTGAAAAACGACACCCTAACATTAAAGCAGAGTGGCTGCTTGAAAATGGTGAAGCCTGTGTGGGATGCGTTTTTGACACATTATTTCTTGAGCCAAACAGCCTCTGGTGATGGGGTGCCTCCCCTGCCCCACCCCTCAGTGCTCAGCTTTCCTATTATCACTCCTGCGTTCATAGAATCATAAAGTTGGTAGGGACCTTAAGGATCATTAGCCCAGGAATGGTGAAACCACAGGCCCCCTAAGCCAGATGTGGCCCTCCAGGCTTCCCTGCCTGGCCCTCAGGACTCTCCCCTGGCCACAACCCTCCACAAACCATGTTTCACATCCTCCCTGAGAGTTTTTGCCTGGCAGGAATGTGTTCTTTCACTCTGATAATACTTCTTGCTTGCCTAGATGAAGGATATGGAAGGGCGTGTGTGGATATGGAAACTGGCCTGCTGCACAGAGGTAACATTTACATTAGCTGCCCTACTCATTTTTGCCTCACCCCACCTACCACCGTCATGTGGAGCTCAGAAGGTTGCCCAGAATAATTTATATGAAGCCGTGGACAGAGATAATCTGGGGGCGGCAGAGATAATCTGGGGGTTGGGGCTGGGTGTTCATCAGTATGAGGATACCCAGCTCTACCTCTCATATAAATCAGAACCAGTGAAGGTGGTGAACGTCCTGTGTGGGTGTCTGGAGACAATTGGGCGATGGATGGCAGTCAATATATTGAGGTGGAATCCCGACAAGACAGAAGTATTGGGGGACGGAGGAGGGCCGGTGTGGGAAATTCCCTGGTCCTGAATGGAGTAACTGTGCCTCTGAAGGACCAGGTGCACAATCTGAGGGTCATTTTAGATGCACAGCTGTTCATGGAGATGCAGGTCAATTTTGTATCCAGAGCAGTTGTCTACTAGTTCCTGTGAGCCCCCACAGGGGGGCGAAGAGACTGTTGCTGTTGTTGTTGTTGCAGAGCAAAGTGAAGTTGAGAAGCGTGTGCTTGCTTTTTTGGCAGAAAGTGTGGATGCTCATCTGGTGCCTGTTGTCCTGGGTGCAAGAAAGCCAGAGGCCGCTTGGCTAGCACTCCGAGAAGCTTGTGGAGCTGAGTGGGAAGCAAGGGCCGAGAGGTGGCTGCATCCGAAAGGGAGAGGCAAGATGGCGCCGGCCACATTCTTGAGAGCCGATACACAGCTGGGAGGAGCTGTGAGCCCCCACAGGGGGGCGAAGGGACTGTTGCTGTTGTCCTTCACAAAACTAGTCTCCATGGCAACTGAGAGAGTTGCATCTACAGAAGCTGTGAAGGCTTCTGTAGAGTTCCATTTGGTGCACCAGCTGCAACCCTACCTTCCTGTGCACTGTCTTGCCAGAGTGGTACATGTTCTGGTTATCTCCCACTTGGACTACTGCAACATGCTGTTCATGGAGCTAACTTTGTAGGTGACTTGGAAACCACAACTAATCCAGAATGAGGCAGCTACACTGGTGACTGGGAGCGGCCACTGCGACCATATAACACGGGTTCCGGAGGATCTGCACTGGCTCCCAGTACGTTTCTGAGCACAATTCAAAGTGTTGGTGTTGACATGTAAAGCCCTAAATGGCCTCAACCCAGTACACTTGAAGGAGCATCTCCACCCCCGTTGTTTAGCCTGGACACAGGATCCGGCTCTGAGAACCTTCTCTGCAAGAAGTGAGGTTACAGGGAACCAGGCAGAGGGCCTTCTCGGTAATGGCACCCTCCCTGGGAACGCCCTCCTGTCATATGTCAAAACATTTGAAGGCAGTCCTGTATAGGGAAGCTTTTTAATGTTTGGTGTTTGATTATGTTTTTATATTTCTCGGGAGCAACCCAGAGGGGTTAAGGCAACTCATTCAGATGAGTGGGGTACAAATATAATAATAACAACTACAGTTGTTGTTGTTGTTGTTGTTGTTGTTGAAGAAGCTTAAACAAGAGGGCAAGGCTTATTTTCATTTTCTTTAACTCAGAAGTAAATAACCCAGTTTATTTTTCCATGGGACTAGCAGCAGTTTCCAAGAGAGCCCCAGCTGAGGGCAGCAGCAGTTCAAATGGCAGGGCCGGGCAGCAACTGGGGGGGGGTGTCCTGGGGAGGCAAGGCCGAAAGGGCTTCCTGCTCTGATGAGGACCCTGGTATGGCTTGGGTGTCAGGGTCTTGTGGGCAGGCAGAGACAGCCCAAAGAAAGAGGAAGGAAGGGGAAAGGGACTCCCAGCAAGAAGCTTGGAGCTGGCTCAGACTGCGTCTCCCTCAACCACCTACCAGCCTGGTGCCTGCACTTAAAACAAGAAGCTCATGAGGAAAGTTCCCAGGTAGGCTGCATTCTTCAGCACCTGCTCTTGTGATTCGCTGCTGAAGGCAGAGGAGAGTTGAGGCGGCAAAGCAACAGGGGCAACAGGAATGAGGAGAGGAGCAATGACCGAACTCATGGTTTTTCCCACATTGTGATTTTTGCATAGCACATGCACGCATTGTGATTCATGATATATCACCACATCAAATACTATGAAACCATTACCACGAGGTGGACTTCAGACTAGTTTTGGACAATATTGATACATTGCCAAGCCATACTTCATTCAAACACTGCGCACTCCAGTGGCTGCAAGAAAGCAGGGGACAGGAGGACAGGAACCTCTTTTCTTAATGCCTGCTTTCCAGATGGTTCTCTGCCTTTTCATGTCTGAATTCTGCCACAGGCAGGACTTGGTGGTGGCAGGTCCGCTGGAGAATCCGCACCCTATCCCTCTTGAGAGAGGAATCTGCCTTTCTTGCTCCTCTGAACACACCAGTAGTTCCATGCACGTGGTCAGTGTCCCCCCCCCCAAACAAGATAATGACCTTCCTCTAGCTTATGACACATGTGCCTCTCAACAGCTCAATCACATGTCTAGGGGCATAAAGTACCAGTTAACTGAAAGCACATTTAAAAAACAACAACCCCAGAAACAGAAAAAGCACAGGCTCCTCCTGCCTCCACCAAGCAAACTGTAAGGGCAGTCAGGTAAGCTGGCACATTGTCAACATGGCCATCAATGAACTCAGGCTACAGGGCAGTCGAAGAGCAAGGTCTCAGCAAAAAGATACTTACCCAGTGGCCATTAGCAAAGCTGCTGATGTACTCAAAATGAGGGCATGTTTTAAAAGGCAGCTAAGTAATCTTATGACTGGAAGGAGGAAGAGGAAATCAAGAGCAGCATCAGAGAGGAGACCCTGACCAAAGACAAAACTTTTATCTTCCCTCCAAGGCACTTTGGAAGAGTTATGAAGATTTTTGCAGGATGTGTTTAATTTATTACGTATTTATTTCATAAGATTTATACACCACTTGATTGTAAAAAAACCCCCTCAAAGCCATTTACAAAAAAAGTAAAATCAAGAAAAAACCACAACCAAACCTTAAAAAGTATACAGAAGTTAAAATACTAAAACAGATTAAAATTACTTCTACTTTGTAAGCATCCGGGTAGGCTTGGCAAGCACGAAAAAGAGTACAGTGAAGGCTCCTGCTTGAATTCAATAGGCCAGGAGTTCCACAGTGTTGGCATTGCCACACTAAGCGATTGAAAGACGGGTGTGGTTTGGCACCTGTAGCAGCACCAATTCCACTGTACAAAGCGAGTGGGCACAGGTGGGGTAAGGAAATCTCATGAGTAAACGGGTCCAAGCTGTTTTGCTACCCAAGTTTTTCCACATTAATTCTTACAAACAGCCCTGTAAGGTAGGTCAGCACTATTATTATACCTGGGGCCAAGAACATGAGGGGGAATGGCTTGCCTGATGCTGAGATTTGTAGTGGGATTCAGAAATCATGGTGAACAAACTCCATGAAGAAGGTGGTGTTGAATAATTGCCCCCAGGTGGACCAGAAGGAAAGCTCAGCTAGCTATTCATTCTGTCCTTTTAATAAGCCTGAAATTGACTTAAAATATTCATAGTACAGCTTCCTTTTCTGTCAAAATGATGAACACTAGGGGTAGAAAATCAGCCTCAACTCCAACTCCCGTCAGCCCCAGCCAGCATTGCTAAATGTTCGGTAGATTTATTGCTTTATTCGGCGCCCAGCCACGCTTCCCCTGCGAGCCTCTGTAGCTTCTGTTTACGCAGTGTGGCTTTCGAGCGGTCGTAAACCAGTTAGCAGAATTACACAGCGGTGTGTGTTGAAAGAGCAGTAATCAAGTCCCACACGTTTCTTCTGTCCTAATATCCCTTTATTTGCTCTAAAGTAGCATATTTACAATCAATAACAGCCATCTGATTCAAGCTGCATCTTCTCCCTCTGTTTGCAGCTACGCAGCAAAACTGCTTTCACTTTTCACTCAGCTCACAGCATTCCAAGCTGCTTTCGTCACGTCCTGGCTTACTTCCCTTGTAAGCGCCTCCTCTCAGCCTCGAGACACAGAAGGTTAGCCCTTCACTACACCCAACACTAAAGATGCTGGGAGTTGTAGTCTGACAACAGCTGGGAGATCAGTTTCCCCAGAGAACTGCCTCCTCCCGCATGGATGCCAAGATCATCCTAAATTTGCCATTTTTGCCATCTTAAAAATTAAATGGTAATGGACTGGATGCGAGCCAACAAACTGAAGCTTTATCCACGTAAGACTGCCTTGGTCACGCTGGTTGATGATCTCCGGCGGGCTAGGGACAAGGGTAAAAGCTGTTTCCTTGTTCCGCTGGATCTCTCAGCGGCTTTTGATACCATCGACCATGACATCTTTCTGGACCGTCTGGAGGGGTTGGGAGCTGGGGGCAGTGTTTTGCAGTGGTTCCGCTCCTTCCTCCAGGGCCATGCCCAGAAAGTGGTGTTGGGGGATAAGCGTTAAGACCCCATGGCTCTCACTTGTGTGGGGTGCCTCAGGGTTTTGTCCTCTTCCCCCATGCTTTTTAACATCTACATGAAGCCGCTGAGAGAGATCATCAGGGGGTTTGGGCTGGGTGTTCTTCAGTATGCGGATGATACCCAGCTCCACCTCTCTTTCAAATCAGAATCAGTGAAGGCGGTGAAGGTCCTGTGTGTCTGGAGGCGGTTGGTGGATGGATGGATG